GATAGGAAAAGAAGAGAGAAGAGAAGTTGCTAAGAGCTCAAACTTAGGTTTCACTTACTTAGACATCAAGATTCACTTCAAAACCATCCCCTCTATGAAACTTTTTCTAACAAACCCCAGTAGATTCCCATATGTCTATAAAAAAATTTTTAATTAGAAATGTTTTCACACATTTTGAATTCAGTGTCTTATCCAAAAACATTTCCTGTTTTAAAATTAACTTTTTAGAAATAAAAAGTTTTCTGATAAATACACACAGAAATGTTGGAACAATCTAAAAAGAAGGGAATTTAAATCACCTGACATGTGACCTCACTGAGGAAAACATTACTGATATTTTAAATATCCATTTCACATATAATTTTACATAATAATATTATCTTGCATATGCAGTTTTTCATCTTCTTTTTCTCATGCAATGACCTTGCCTCTCAGTTCCTTGATCTCCTCATATCAGCTACAGACTCTATTGGTCTGGCTCTAGACCAAACCTTTGCTCCTCAAAGTGTGGTCCACGGACCAGCTGCATCAGCATTGCCTGAAAGTTTGTTGAATATGCAAAATCTAAGACCCCATCATGCTCTCACCTCAAGACATTTGTACTTGCTGTTTCCTTTGCCTGCAAAGCTAGTCCTTGTATGACTAATCCTTGCAAGACTCATTCCCTCACTGCATTTTGGTCTCTGTTCCAAGGTCACCTGCAGAGAAAAGCCATTCCTGACCTCTCTAACTAGAGTTGCATTCCTGTTGCATTCTACCCTCTCACCCTGCTTTACTTTCTTCATAACATTTATTACCACTTGACATTATTTTAGATGTATTCATTTGTTTACTTCCTTCCACAAATATTTAGGGAACACCCACTATATGTCAGGCACAGTTCTAAGGTCTGGGGACACAGAGGAAAACAAAATAAAGTCCCTATGTCCCCCACACTAATGTAAGCAGGCTCTACAAATACAGTTTGTTAGTTATTATATCATGTTTCTTTACTTATTCATTCCTTCAAGAAGAGGCCCAATCCCTACCATCAACAGAAGGCTCCATGCCAGGGCCCATGACTTAAACCCACCCTGAACATTCCAGCTTCTATTTTGAGGGAATTTTTCAATGTGTTTTTGTGCTGTGCTGAGCTAAGTTTAACTCAGTTGCTTTCAATCCCAGTGAATTATCCCAGTACAGCTTCCCTGTAGTGGAAATTTCCCTTACTTGATGTAAGCCGCCAACTACATAGCTAGTAGTTGTCTTATTCTTGTGCAGTTTATCTGACTTCAAAGGGTTCCCCAAAATGGGACCAAAAACTTTTATCACCATCATCATCATCACCAACAGCAGCAGCAGCAGGGTTAGGCCTGATAAGGTTGACAGGAGCCAAGTTTATCTTTGGTGTCCTCCTGCATCCTCTTCCTACCCTAGTGGGCACCTAGGGCCCATTCCTTGGAGGCCTGGCTCCCAGCGATTTACATGTATTCCCTCCTAAGGTGGCAACTTGCACATCAATGGGAAGTGCTTGGAGACTGCAAAGGAATGGCATACGGATAGCTCATTATGTGCAAGGCTTTGTTTATCCCCGCACAGTCATTTCATCATGCAAGGAAAATACAACCTAGAAGGACACATTTTGTCCGTCATTTTACAGATGGGAAGCTGAGGCTCAAAGAGATTACCTACCTCTCCCATGTCACTCTGGATGGTCTGAAGTCAAAGCTCTGCCCTTCAAGCCTCCTGAGCTTCAAAACTTCAAATTAGCACATTTCTCATGGTAGATTATCAAAGCCCATGATTGGAAGAACTTTTTTTTTTTTTAATACAGTGGTGGAGGTGAGAAGAAGTGATGAAAGTGTTGATGAAAAGGGAAGGTTTATGCAGCAAGATCTTTCAATTACAGGTGGACCAACATTTAAGATAGAATGGATCTCAGACTGTCTGCACAAACCCCTTCATTTTACAGAAGTGGAACAGTAAGGCCCAAAGTGGGTGAATTATACTCATTTAAACCTAAATTTAATTTAATAATTATGAGTAGGGAATTGCCATTTCTAAGTAGAGTTTCCAAATTTAGCAACGTTTTCATGTCTACATTCCCTCCAAAAACTGTTGGATAAGTAAAAATGCACAGGTTTGGCATAGGAAAGGATGTGTAATATTAAGTTTTAAAGAATGTGTAATATTAATAAATATTAATAAAAATATTAAGTGGATATATTTTGTTTAGAAACCTCTGTCTTGATTTGTCAAAACTACTAAGGGAAAGGATCAAAATATAATGTATCTCATAGCATAAGCATGTTTACAAGAGCATATAGCATCTTTCTTGTGGCCCATGGAACACGGGGCTCCCCTTTCTACATGCGGGGCAGAAAGACAGTTTTATCCCTTAGAATGGCAGGGATAGGACTGGGTAAGGAGCAGTCCATTTATAAACTCGAATGTGATCAAAGAAAACGTTTATTGAGCTCTTACTCTGTGCCAAGTGTTTTTTTGTATTGTTTTTGTTTTGTTTTGTTTTGGCCATGCCTGGTGGCTTGCGGGATCTTAGTTCCCCCACCAGGGATTGAACCTGGGCCCCAGCAGTGAAAGTGTTGAGTCCTAACCACTGGACTGCCAGGGAATTCCTGTGCCAAGTACTATATTGCCAATAGGTAGGGTATGGTCTGATTGGTAAGATATGATATACACTAAGGAAATTATGTACTTCTTGTGAGTATAAATATACATGTTAACAATAATTAACACCTTCTGTTGGCAAATGTAGAAGGATAATATTTTGATGTATTAACCGAAATGTTTTCCCTTCTCAGTAATTCTTGTTACCTGTGAACCTCTTCCCATACAGTCTTTCTTGGCACACTGCGTTGGGGATGGGATTATACTACAGAACAAAAGAGGAAAATTCTTGCCTTTTGAGTTTCAAAACGTGAAATCTTGGCAAAAACAATATGTTTGGAAGAAAAACAGATCTGGGAATGGTCATAGTATTTTCCTACTCCTAAAATAAGATAAAACTAGGAAAAAAAGAAAAAAAAACTGGTGGCGGGGAGAGGTGAGAGCAAAAGCAGAAGAGCTAGACCCTTGACTGGGTCACTAAGCAGAGGCCTGTACTCCGTTCCCTCTGCCCTGACCCCCTCTGGCTGAGTTCCCACTGCAGAGGAGAAACAGTAGACACTCCAGGGGAAATCCTCTCATCCAAGATGAGAATCTGTGGCCAGCAGCCATCCCCCAGCCACCCGCTGCTGCCTCCAGGCTCGGGTGAAACCTCACAGATCCCAGACCCTTATGGACATTCACCTAGCATTTTACTGAGACAGCAGAGAAGAACATCTGGCTAGGAAAGCATATCGGGATGGAGAGGACCCGAGATGGCCGAAAAGCTCCCCCCACGTGCCATGGAGTTCAGGGAAAGAACGAAATATTTTCTAAGTGCCCGAGCGTATTGAAAGAGTACTGAAAGATCTTGTGGCCAGAGATCAGGACACAGCGGTGACTGAGGTGGAATAGAAGCACTGCGGGATGATACTCAATTCAGCCAATGCCAGCATGGACTGATGGGAATCCCTGGACTGGTGTCTACTCCCAACTTTCTCTCCCTAGCCCATGCTAACACACTCTGAAAGCCCCCTAGATCTACATGAATACCCCAGGTTTGTGATCTCATTAGATAATAATCCAGCCCCCGAAAAAAGCCCCCAGTTCCTCACAAACCCAGTCCCATCCACGCATCCATACTTAACCAGCTTCCTTCAGAAATATTCTTGCAGGGTTCAACTAAATCCCCCACGCTACCGGCACAAATACTTCCCCCCATTCCCCCATTCTTAGGAAGTAAAGACCAGACAACATAGTCTGTGCAACAGCCCATGGTGCATCAGAAGAGAGAGAAGAGTAAGGTCTACAGTTATCCTGGGTTCCTGCTACATAAAAGATCTCCCTTTGGAGCTCAGCTATTAAATCTAGAACCTGACAATAAAAGCGGGGGAAGTTTCTCTTCCAAACTCTCCTCTGACCCTCAGCCCCTAGGTTGGCCCTTTTCCCACCTCTGTGTCCCTCTTATAAAGTCCTCTCACTATCTCCCCATTGCAACCTGAAACCCATTCACATATAAGTAAGTGACTCGGAACAGTCTGAGGTTTAACTTCCCCTCCTTCTTTGCTCCCACAGCTAATCAGTTGTTAAATTTACCTCCTTGCTACCTTTCCTCTGCTTTTCATTATCTGGGAGTGCTGTTCTCTGACTATCCCCTCTTCTCAGTCCAGGAACACAGTGGACTTGCACTTCCTCTTTCTTGAAGTTCATCATGGCCAGCCATGTGACTCGCTTTGGCCAAAAAAATGTGGGCAGGGATGACATGCTGCTTCTCCTGGAAGTATTCAATTGCTGTATGTGACACTACAGCACTTTCTTCTTCCGACCGTTGGAACCAGCAACATTCTAGCTGTTGGAGGTTCTGTTGATCTGATTCCCAGTTTCCAAGTCTATGTACAAGGACTTGTAATGTGAGCAAGAAATAAACATAAGTTTAACTAATTCACTGGTTTTTACTGAATCTGTTGGAAAAGATTACAAGAGGACACGACCCCCCGTTGACCCACGAGCTGGACCAGGGCAATTGGAGGCTTCTCACCCCTCCCCTGTCCTTATAACGTATGCTCTGCCCACAGTTCCCACAGTGGGAGCCATTTTCAAGGATGCAGCCTTGAGATAGTAATGTGTTGTTGAGACCATCTGGACTGAATACATGACTGAATCCAGTTAAGGCCTCTATATAAACTTTTAAGATCCTGGAGGGTGGGTACAGAGATCTACTTATCTTGCGGCTGCCCAAGATAAGCCTTGTATGTAAGTTCCCTTGCTTATTAAAACTGCCACCTACCAATAGAAGTGGCCTGCCTCTTTCTTCAGTCTCTCCTTGCTCTCTCTACAGGAGCCAGTTGCAGATTTCACCTGGGAAATTCCTTAGGTTGTAAACCAGCAGCATCATAATCTTGCCCATCCTAACATACCTGGGCTACTGTTGGGTTTCAGGCTCTCATCACTTCTCATCTGAGCTCTAACACAGGCTACTCAAAGTGTGGTCTGTACACAGGTGTCAATCCACAAGATATCGCTGGTCTGCAATTAGGCAAGTACAGAAATTGAGAATAAACATTTAGAAATTCATATAACAATTCAACTGATTAACTTTATCTGTTGACTCTCTAATAATAAATATTTGGGCTTGTAGTCCCCCCAAATCTTAGCACTGGGCCTTTCCATGGGGTCCTGCAAAAATGCTTCTCAAATTAAATTGGATCAAGGCTTCATGACTAAGAAATAGAATTACGGTAGGATTCTAAGCAATAGCAAGCATATCTGGGGGATATTTATGGTGTAAGACCCTTCCTCATTGAGTGTGAAATCATCATTTAAAAATTTCCTGAGTCTACTCTTCGTACCAGCACAAAATTTAGCTCCAACAAGCAAAGAAACTTTCTGAGCTCTTTCTCATTTAACATTAATTATTGTTTTAGGTTTGCCTACATAACAGCATGGAGATGATCGTATTTATTCTTTGGAATAAAACTTATAAATATATTGCCTATGAATATGATTTTCCAAATTACCCGCACACAGCTTGACATTTTGATACATTTGTTCAAGAGTCCAAGAGGATAATGTAACTGATCCCTAAATCACTAAAAACTCCCTCTACGGGCAGTAGTTGAGAGTCCGCCTGCCGATGCAGGTCCCGGTCCGGGAAGACCCCACATGCCGCGGAGCGGCTGGGCCCGTGCATGGCCGCTGAGCCTGCGCATCCGGAGCCTGTGCTCCGCAACGGGAGAGGCCGCAGCAGTGAGAGGCCCGCGTACCGCTAAAAAAAACAAAAACAAAAAAAAACTCCCTCCAGGACTAAGTAGAGCTAATTTTTCTCTTCCCAAAGCCTGTTTGACACACATTAATATATTTCTCTGCACCATACAAGACTCTGAAAAGAACAGGGGGCTAGATATTAAGAGACCTGGCTCTAGTCCTCATTACCCACTCACTTGCTACTACATGAAGCTGTTGCTTAACCACTTGGTGCCCTAATTTCTCCACCTCCTGAATAAGCATAATAAATTAATAATAGCAAGAAAATAATATCAGCTCTGTTGTGAGAATCAAAATAAAGAGTACTGAAGTACTTGGTAGTGAATAAATTGCTTTACAACTATCATTTAGCATTTATATGTAATACTGCCTTGTAACATTCTCAGTTATCTTGTACACATAGATTTTCTCCTTTTAAGCCAGAAAATAAGTCTTTGAGAGGTACACTGTGTAATATTTCTCTGTAACTTGTACACATAGATTTTCTCCTTTTAAGCCAGAAAATAAGTCTTTGAGAGGTGCACTGTGTAATATTTCTCTGTATGTTCAGTCCTATGGGACAAATAATATACATACAATGATTGTTTGAAAATTGTTTAATTTACCAAAAGTTGTTGAACCCCTTCACCATTAAGTAAACCGCATAAACTTCAGACTTCATACACTGCATGATGGGTATTCCTCACTCACACTGGCAACAGTCTTTTAGAGTTTGGCTAGGAGAGTTGTAATTGGCTATCTGAGCTCCTTGAGAGCACAGGTCATATCTCATTCACCTTTGTTACTTCAGCACTTACCACAGTCATCTAAGCACAGTTAATGTCTGAAGATAAATTAGCATGGTAATAAATTAATGAACTTTAATTAAATACTTCCTTAATAGTACCTCCATTTAGTACTCTGCAATCTAAAAAGCCAATCTTTGTTTGATTTTAGTTAAACTGATTTTTAATCTTCCAGAATCATCTAAACATTTTAAAAGCAGACCTGTCCAATAAGTCACGTGATTTCCCCACACTCTTCCCTTAGTTAGCCCAAGCAAATTCTTACTCAAAGATCATTAAGCCAATTAGGCTGCTGCAGTGTTGGTGGTAAGGAATGGGACAGCTCTTGGTCTGAAAGGAGGGAAAATTGTACTGATTGTTCAGAATACGACACTACTCTGCATATGTGAACAGTCAAGGTAAAATACAGCAGATGAGTAAAGTGCTTCTGTCTAGAAGAACTATAAACTTTGGCAGGAACCACTGTGCTGCAGCAGTGAAAGGCCTCCTGCTGGGGCTGCAATGGAAAAAGTGACCTCAGAGAGGAATTCAGAACTAAAATTCTCAGAAAGATGAAATATCACGAAGTTTTGGTTAAGTCACTTGGTTCCAGGAATATAAAAGTGTAAAGCTGTTTCAGTTTTTTAAAAAACCGCAGATTACATGAACTTTGTAGATTATTATTCTATTCTAGTTGTAGCTTAGAATTCCAAAGTACCTCCACCCTCATGTTCTTCACAAGAGACCTGTGGTGTTTAGGAACACATTCTCCTAGAGGGGCCCAGGCAAGGAAGCAAAATAAGTCAGTCTGGAGTCATTGGACCTAGATCACTCAGCGTTCTACTAAGCCATCCCAGCGCAGAGGGTGCACTCACTAGGGACCCCAAAATACACAGGCAAAGACAGCACTAGAGAGGAATCATTGCATACCCTTTCCCCCACCCTGCTCCCATCTAGAGAGGGGCTTCCCTTTAACGGAAAAGTTTATAGGTATAACAGCAGCAGTTTATGTCTCTCACCACTGGGATTTAGCCAGTTCAATGAGTGTTTCAGAGCTGGGATCTGTTGCTAGGTGATCTGCTCTTGAAATTTTATCTAATATATTGGGCTTTTGCAAGGAAAAAATGAAATACATCATGGCATATGGATATGAACAAAACCATAATCTAGGAAAAAACACCCACCCTGGCCCCAAACAAGCTTTGATTTTTTATTTATTTATTTTTTTGTGGTACGCGGGCCTCTCACTGTTGTGGCCTTTCCCGTTGCAGAGCACAGGCTCCGGACGGGCCTCTCACCGCGTGGGATCTTCCCTGACCGGGGCACGAACCCATGTCCCCTGCATCGGCAGGCGGACTCTCAACCACTGCGCCACCAGGGAAGCCCCAAGCTTTGATTTTTAAATATAGATTTATATTTTGAGTAAAGCATGAATCAAGTCACATATTTAATGTCAGTAGACAGCGTAATTTTAGACTCATGCCACAAAGAAAAAGGGAGGGGGGTATGAGCACATAAAACTTATTTATATTTTTATTTATGCTATTTCCCACAGATTGAAAATAAACTTTCAAGAGCACCACTTCTCAAGTTAACTCATTCCTGAAGTCTGAAAATTTTGTGCTTATTTAGCAGTGCCCTCTGGTGTCCAAACGGATCATTTTAGTTTGCCTTCAGGCAAAAAGTAAACCATTAAACAAGTCTACAATCAGCATTCATTCATTCACCAAATACTTATTGAGCACTTTGTATATGCCAATTTGTGGAAGGTGGTGGGATACACAGATGTATAAAAAAAGACATGGTTTGTTATGACTTATATGTGGAATCTAAAAAATAAAATGAACTAGTGAATATAACAAAACAGAAACAGACTCAGAGATACAGAGAACAGAATAGTGGTTACCAGTGGGGAGAGGGAAGGAGGGAGGGGCAAAACAGGGGTAGGGGATTAATAAAATAAATATGTAAAATAAATATGCAACAAGGATACATGTACAGCACAAGGAAATATAGCCATCATGCTGTAATAACTTTAAAGGGAGTATAATCTATAAAAATATTGAATCACTATGTTGTATACCTGAAACTACTGATAAAGTATAATACTGCAGATCAACTATACTTCAATTAAAAAAATTTTTTAAAGATACAGTTCTTTGTTCTGTTCTTAAGGAGCCCATAGCCTAACAAGAAAGACAAGTGTAAATGCAATTACAAAGTTACTTGATCAGGCAAAAGAAATCACTTTACCTATTTTTCACTAAAATGAGACTGACAGAGGCGGGTCATCTCCATTTCCAAACTGTCCTGGACCATTACTCACACTAGCAGGTATCTGGCTGGCTTTGGACAGAACAACTTCGGTCAAGTACACAGGGAACATTCTGAAAAAGAGTAGACATCCCAGGACATACAGTGAGATTAAGACCTAGTTTTAAAGATTTCTGTAAGAAAGCTCCTTTCACAGTCAAGACACTTCTGGTCTTGTAGTTACATAGGGGCCCACTGGTCACCAGATCTGACACACAAATCTAACATTCATTAAGCCTTACATTTCTTTCTGAAAATGCAGACTGTTTTTCTAGCACTGTAATGAAAGCCCTCAAAAGGAATCAAATGGCAGAGATGCTAAGAACTGATCATAAACTGTTTTAGGATCCTTAGATCTGCAAATTGCTGACTAGGGTTACAGAAACCCATATTGTTCTGAATTGGTGCATCTTTGGGCACCTTCTGGGGAAGCAGAGGGAGTCTGAAGGAGTTGCTGAGACCTTCCATCAAGAAGGAAAGTAAAATTCAAAAAATATCAAAGGAAAGGAGTTCAGGGACTACTATAGATCAAGAATGATGCTTTATACAATTTTGTAATTTTCCTACTTTTGGTCATTTTTCCATTCTTGTAATTGTTGTTTCCCAGCGTAATTAGCCATGACTTGCTCCTAACCAACAGAATATGGCAAAGGTGACAGGATGTACATGACTACATTACATGATATTAGGAGGTCCATCCTGCTGACTCTCTCTCCCTCACTGGCTTTGAGGAAACAACCAGTTGTGCTGGCAAGGCTCATGTGGCAAAGAGGGTGGCCTCTTACCAACACCCCACTAAGCTGAAGTCCTCAGTACAAGTGCCCACAGAGAACAGAAAGCTGCTATCAACCACATGAGTGAAAAAGCAGGTTTTTCCCCAGTGAAGCCTCAGATGACACTGCAGCCCTGGCCAACACCTTGACTGCAACCTTACAAAGGACCCAAATTTGAGATATTAAATGTGTGCTATTTTAAGTTGCTAAGTTTGTAGTGATATTAGTATGCAACAACAGATAACTAATATAGATCTCAGGACACTTTTTTATTTTAAAACATTTTTATTATAAAAGTAATACAAATAGAGAAAAACTAAAATATTGAAGAAAGACAGTCATCCATTTCCTGCCCTGCCATCCTATTATAATCAGTTAGTAATTTATTTTGTCATCTTTTTATTATATACTTGGTGTGTTATTTATAGCCATAGTCATACACATTCATATACTTTTGTATCTTGCTTTTTGTTACTAAATATTTTCTCATGTTTTTCGGTAATTACTAATTTTTAATGTGTACATAACACACCATTCATTAGCTATATATGTTCATTGACTATCTCCCCAGACCAGTGGTTGGCAAACTATGGCCCTGTATTTGCAAATTTTTATTGGAATACAGCCATATCCATTCATTTAGATACTGTCTATGGTTATTTTTGTCCTACAAACAGCAGAGCTAAGAAGTTGTAAGAAAGCCTATATGACCTGAAAAGCCTAAAATATTTCCTTTCTGACCTTTTCCAGAAAAATTTTGCTGACCCTTGCCTTAAACTTTTAAGTCATTTATAATTTGGATTATTATATGCCCCAAAATGTCACTTGAAACATCTTTGTGCATATAATTGTTTATACCTTAGGCAACTTAATTGGGAGGTATTAACAAAAGTGGAAAAACTGGGTTTACTTAAGAAAGATGTTTTTAAGGTTAACACTGTCCCTTACTATCTCTCTTATAATATTCTAGCTTATGATACAGTACAGGTGGTGGTAATAAGAACAGAAGAAAAAGACCCAGTACTCTTGTAGGTAGCAATTCTCTGGTCCCTATTAATCTAGACATGTAATTTTACACTCTGGATGAGCATATTTTTAGTTTTGATTTAAAGTCAACCAAAGAGGGAAGTGACAGTAATTGCAACATGAAAAAACCAATTGAAAGAATACTTTCTACTGGGGATGAAAAAGCAGACTAAAGTAAACTCTCCAGGTGTCAAGGTGTAGCTGAAATGCCATTCCAGGCTAGCTGTAGTGACCAAAAGGCACTGAGAGGGTTGAGTAAGGGAAAGAGGTGGCAGTCTCAACAATGTTCTACCCTTCTGAACACACCCTAGGCATAAACTTGTATACAACTATAATTAAACTGTCTCCAGATGAGAAAGTTCTAGAGCAACTACCCTATATTTCTGAATAAAATAAATTCTTCTATCTGGGAAAGTTTCATTCTTCAAAAAGAAAACTTATGGAATGGGACCAGCTAAGTCAACCCTGACTATCTCTGAGATAAAAGATGAATCGGGCTGATGGGTCTCAATCCGATCTCGTGTGAATAAAGCAAAGCACCGGGAAGCATAGGTGTCATCTTCTAAGGGAAACATTCTGCAACATAAAAAAAAAAAAAGATAAGGATGGACCTTTCCCCCAATAGATAATGTAATTTAAAAGCAAAACTAGGAAGACATGTAATGTGATTATGCCAATTACGCCAACAATATATGTAAAGAAATCATATAAAACACATTTACTTATTAAATTGTTCCTGTCAAAATGTCAACCAATTTAACATTTCCTTAAAGAAGTGTTTAAGTGTTCTCAGAACTATTACTATTATAAGCCTTTACATTCCATCCCAGTTACTCATCAAATCATTAAATGCATCATGACTTCATGAAGTACTCTGGGAAACTATGAAATTTTCTGTAGAGTAGGGAAGTCAAATTATTTTTGTGAAAACAGCTAGGAACATGTTACTTTGAACAGAACGTAGCCATTTCTGAGGTATGAAAAACCAAGTCTTTTTTTTTTCTTGAATGTTCATATTGCAAAAGAAGTGATGGTTCTGTGAATGGATTGATTCACACTTAAAATCATGTCATAACTTTCTTCTTTTTTCAATGTTTACTGATAGTTGCCCCAAAACTGACCTGAGGATCTGGCAGCATAAATCCATCAGTAAGTTTGTAATAGACTATTGTGGAGTCAGACTCCACTATGGCCAAAGTAAAAGACATCGGCAAATCTGGATCACCTTGCAATTTTCGAGATGCCTTCAAGATCTCCCTTATCCTGAAAATAAAGTCACAACACATTTAGCATTCACAATCACGCAATTAATAATAAGATCAAATACTGTAAAATCTTGGAGAAGAGGTAGGCAATAACATTATTTCCATAATGCGGACTCAGGAAATGTATGAAGGCTCAAATATACACATTTAAAGTTGTCTTCTTATACAGAAAATCTTGCAAATAAGAGCCATCTACTGACTTTCAGTCCTTCTCTTTTGTATTCACCCATCTCTCCTGATCATCATACCTGAGAGAATCAAAACTGCATTTAGGAACCAACAGAATGGGACACTAACAGTATTTAGGGCATCTAAATTAGCTAAAGATCCCGGTTACTCATTTTTCCATTTTCCAACTTGGTATCTTACAGTGGAACAATTTGGTATTCAGGTTTGTTTCTTTAAAAATAGATTATAATAAACATTTCCCCATGTTTCTACTGGTGTTAATAATTACAACCTTTATATGGCTATATAATATTCTATTGCTTCATAATTTATCCAATCATTCCCCTATTGCTGTAAAGTTCTTTCAGGTTTTTTGTGAGGAGGAGGGTGCTAATAAAGGTAAGCTGTAATAATCATCTTTCTGCAGGTAGTTGTTTCTTTTTAAATAATTCTGTTGGGTCTTTCCAGGTATCAGAATTATTAGATACGAATATAGATATTTTTGCAGCTCTCAATATGTATTCTGTTACTTAATAAAAGCTAAAAGAAAAATACAGAGAGAAAAAACTTTTTTGTAAAATTATATATCAAACATCAATGTTATAAAGGATTTCAGCTTGCTTGCTGTGGAAAGTAATCTACTAAATCCAATATCTAGGTCTTCAAAACACTATTAGCTTTTGTTTACCACAAACTAAAAATCCTTATTACCTACTCAATAAAACCTGTATTCGATAATTCAGTAAAATATAATCTCCAGAGGAGCTTTCTTAAAAAGGCAAATTAAAAAATGATCAGTTGTTTTTTCATGAAGGTAACCAATTTTCCAGGAATTAGAAAAAGATTTATTAGCATATTAACATGCTACAACTGAATACATAAATAACTCAACACTATATTCTCTTTAACAAAAGTCTGATTTGTCCCTTTAAATTCTACTCCCAACCCTAAGTAAAAATTCTTGTGATTCTTCACCCATCCTACTAGCTACTGAATCTATAAAGTATCTAAAAAGAAAAGTCTCTGCTTTGAAATATTCTTCCTATAGTAATTATAATGCTTTTTAAAAAACCTGTGGTGGAGACAAGATTTTAAAAGTGATTTAAAATAGCAATAAACTTCTAGAAAAGCTGAAATTAAATTGTTCTTGCTAAACCATCATTTAGTCACTACATGTTACAGAGTGATAACTGGTTTCTTAAAACAGTCACAAAAAGCTGCTTACCTACTATCATTTAAATTTCACAGGTATGTAATCAGATAAGGAGAGAATGAGTTTCTAAGTTTGTTTCCTCATAGTCAAACCATTTCTAAAATGATCTTGAAAGAGTCAATTCAACAATATGGTAATACTGGATAAATAAAATGTTTACCTGACAAAATCTTAATTCCTTTTCAAGAGTCAGCAAAGCATCATATTCTCTCTGAAGTCTTCCCTGCCACCTTTCCCCAACCCTACAGAGGCACCTTGTGCAAACCTACATTACTGCAATCACTACCTTGTATTTATATTTACATCTAAGTGTCTGTTTTCCACTGGATTGTACCCATTTTGAGGGTCAAAGCTTTTTTATAAAAATTGTTAATGCTCAATATATAGTAGAATACTTGGGTAGAATGAATGCGGCTTTTTTTCCTTATAATATTTATTTATTTACTTTATTTATTTTGTCTGTGCCGGGTCTTAGTTGCGGCATGTGGACTCTTAGTTGCGGCACGCATGTGAGATCTAGTTCCCCGACCAGGGATTGAACCTGGGGCCCCCTGCGTTGGGAGGGCGAAGTCTTACCCACTGGACCACCAGGGAAGTCCCTGAATGAGGCTTTTTGAATGAAGGTTTGCATATGGCTACAACTAACTCTTTAGGCATATAAACTTTAAAATATTTCTGATAAACATTTTTCTAAAATTTATTATGCAATTCAATTACACTAAATAAAAGTTAAACTTGTCTTGACAGCTCAGGATCATCATTTTTGGTACTTATTATTGTAGATGACAGTGGTAGATGGTGTACCAAAGAACTCCTTAGAATTTAATTTCTTAAAAGTTTCTGGGGCTTCCCTGGTGGCACAGTGGTTGAGAGTCCGCCTGCCGATGCAGGGCACACGGGTTCATGCCCCGGTCCGGGGGCATCCCACATGCTGCGGAGCAGCTGGGCCCGTGAGCCATGGCCGCTGAGCCTGTGCGTCCGGAGCCTGTGCTCCGCAGCGGGAGAGGCCACAACAGTGAGAGGCCCGCATACCGCGAAAAAAAAAAAAAAGTATCTGATATTTGCTTGCTTTTAGTTCATCAAAACAGTCAAATTGTTTTATCATTTGTCTCTATACCAGGGCCTGGCAAACTATGGTCACCTGTTTTCTATGGCTCATGAGCTAAGAATAATCTTCACTACATCTTTAAATGGTACCTTTTGAATGGTCATATAAATACCTACATAATAGCCTTGATTTTGCCACTCTGTCCGCAAAGCCCAACATATTTACTATCTAGCCCTTTAAGAAAAGGTTTGCTGACCCCTACTCTACATTATGAAAAAGGTTAAGGGGGCTTCCCTGGTGGCACAGTGGTTAAGAATCCGCCTGCCAATGCAGGGGACATGGGTTCGAGCCCTGGTCTGGGAAGATCCCACATGCCGCGGAGCAACTAAGCCCCTGTGCCACAACTACTGAGCCCGTGCTCTAGAGCCCTCGAACCACAACTACTGAGCCCGCATGCCACAACTACTGAAGCCCGCATGCCTAGGGCCCATGCTCCACAACAAGAGAAGCCACCGCAATGAGAAGCCCGTGCACCACAACTAAGAGTAGCTCCCGCTCGCAGTAACTAGAGAAAGCCTGCGCACAGCAACGAAGACCCAATGCAGCCAAAAATAAAAATAAATAAATAAATTTATTTATTAAAAAAAAAAGGTTAAGAATAAAAATGGTAAGATATGATCACCAGGCAGTGTTCCTTTTTTTTTTCAATATTATTTATTCAAGAGTCAGCACAGAAGGTTTCACTTCTAATGAGGATATAAAAGATCTCAAAAGACCACCATTCCTATGATAATAAAGAGAAAACACCTGATTTGCTTAACAATATGCTATTTTTCCTTAATGCCATAAAAGAGAGGTAAACACAAAGAAGTTTAAAGGAACTAAATTCCAATGAGCAATGAGCCCTTCCAGGGTAGAGACCAAGACACGGCCACTTCCATCCCTGAGGGCAACTGCCAAGTCTGGCCACAGTGGCTGGAAGAGTAAGCCAGTCATACACAAGCAACTTCATTGGGACCAGGAGAAAAAAGCACTACTTGTAAAAATGGCACATGAACTGGCATGGTGGAATGGAATCTTAAAAGTCACCAATCCCTCCAGTTCACCAACTCTCACTCATGGCACTTTTGCTGTGTTTAAGCAACAACATGAGAAGCTGGGGAAGGGACTGGAAAATGGCAAGTAAGCCCTAATCACTAAGCCCTGCTGAAGAGAGAGGGCTGATCCCATTCTTAAGACATTTGAAACCAAGAAGAGAACTGAGATAACTGAAGCTGCAATTCAGCCATGATTCCTCTTGACTTCTGATTTGATTGACTAAACTAGACACTAACTCTACCTGCCAGATAGAGGAAAGGATGAGCTCTTTGGAGGCGGGGAGTAGAATCGACATCCGTCTATCAACATCAGTCTTTTCTTCATACACAATGTCCAGCATCCGGTGAAAAACTCTAAGCTACGCGAAGAAGCAGGAAAATATATCTAATAATCAAGAGCAAAAAGTCAATACAAGATGGCTGTCAGAAAACTAAGGCTGTTGAAAAACAGATGTTGGAATTAGTAAAGACTCTAAAATAACTATAATAAATGTTATAGCATTGAGGAAAAAGACAGACAAAATGAGTGACAAGATGAAAAATATAAGCAAAAAAACGAAAGTTCTAAAGAAAATGAACATTCTAGAATTTAAAAATGTATTTTCAAAGTATTGACTAGGCTTAATGGTAGATTAGACACAGCAGAAGAAAGGATTTAGTGAACCTGAAAACAGGTCACAAGAAACTTAACTGAAGTACAAAGAGAAATTTTTTTTTCTTTAAATAAAACATCAGAGGCCTTTGATGCAATATCAGTTTAACATATGTGTAAATAGAATTACAGAGGAAAATAAGGAGAGAATGGTGTGTGTCTTAGTCCGTTCAGGCTGCTATAACAAAATATCACAGAACCAGGCAGCTTATAAACAACAGATATTTATTTCTCAGGGTTCTGGAGGCTGGAAAGTCCCAGATCAAGGCACCAGCATGGTCTCATTCTGGTGGAGGTCCTCTTTGTGGCTCACAGCCAGCACCTTCTTACTGTGTCCTCACAGGGTACAAGGGGCAAGGGATCTCTGTAAGGTCTCTCTCTCTCTCTTTTTTTTAATAAGGCCCGCCCGGATAATCCAGGCAAATCTCCCAATCATAAGATCCTTAATCTCATCTGCAAAGTCTCTTTTGCCGTAATATATTCACAGATTTCTGGTATTAGGCTGTGGGCGCTGTCAACTACAAACTGGCATTGCCATTAGCACTTGCCATCTCCCTCTACAAGGATTAAGTCATGTGCTGCTGCAGCTGCTGACTTTCGACACCCCCTGAAATGAGTTCAGTGTGGAGAGCAGAAATGAGGCGCCCTGTGCTCTGGGAAAAACTAGCAGAACAGGTCTTCCAATAGTTAGATATTTTCAGGAGCTGATTTTATAAGCCCAATTCTTGTATTTCCTCACATCTAGAAAAGCACTAAAATCCTTTGTGGTGACGTCTGCTCCTCGTGACTAGCAGAAACTTTCTGCAAAAAATGTGTGCTT